TGTTGTACTCAAAGTCACCCCAGCCCTGCCGGGCCAGCCTGTTGCCCTCCCCTCTGTGACATCTCCCCATTTGACAGATAAGGCCCATGAGGTCTGCTCGGGAGAGGATGGAAGTTGTTTATCCAGCAGTTGAGTCAACACATGAGATAGAGTAGGGAGCCCTCTCCACGTCACCTTCTCCTCCATCTCCGAGTGTCTGGCTCCTTTGCCACATTCTCCTCCTCCTCTCTCCCTTTGGATGGCATCTGGCTCCCTGCAGCAGCTCCCGCCTGGCCTCTGACTCTTATTTTCTAAGTCATCCTATACCAGAGAGAGTCTGTGTCTTCTCCCAGAAGACAGCCAGACAGTACTCCCAATTTCCTGCTGCCCCTGGGTGACTCAGGGGCAGTCAAGGCCAGCGTGGTCTGGCACCTGCCAGTCTCCTCTACCTTGCCCACAGCTGCTGATTTCTAGTAAGCAGATCTGCACAGGACCCACATTTCTGGAAGAGTTGTAGTGCATCAGGCAGATCTGCTGTCTCCCCCACGTAAGCCTCCATCTTACCTAACCTGCATAGCAGGCCCATTTTATAAATGAGGAAACTGAGACTCAGAGAGTGGAGTGAGCAAGAAGCATGTGTATACCCAATCTGCTGATGCCACACGGGGTTCTCTGCACTTGCCTGTGTCTTCAACTGTTGGGGATATAACCTAGGAGCCTATCACCACTGAGCTACATGTTATTTTGAGACAGAGTTTCCTAAGTCACTAAGTCACCCAGGCCAGGCTCAAATTTAAGATTGTTGACAGGCGTGTGCCACCACACCTTGCTCCTTGTGTCCTTTTAATATCCAAGGTCATGGGATGCGCCATGAGTAGGCTGCATGTTTCTACTTTTACTTCTTAAAATAAATCCAGAGCATTGAAACCCTACTCCAGGATCTGCCACCGAGCTTTCCTGGGAGGAAGCCCTGTCACTGCACTGTGAAAGTGGGTAGGAGTGGAAGATGAGTCCACACCTTTCTGAGGGAGGACCCGCCTCCTTGGCCCAGGAATCACAGGGTGTGCATCTAAAGTAGACCCAGGGCCTAGCAGGGCTTCTTAATCTGGGGCCCAACAGCTTTTGGGGACTCAGGAATTTGGATGTAGAAAAATTACATCCTTATTGGTCCTACTTTACCGTTCCCTCCAGGTATCAATGCAAGGGACAAAGGCAGTAGCAAGAGCTACACCTGGTCTCCAATAAAAATCACACATATTTTCCCACCACATCTCAGTTGCCACAGATAAGTCCGTGCATCCCAGCATGCAAATTACCATAGTTCTCTTGGCTGCCTTGGGATTGTGTTATTTATTGCTTTAATAAAGGAGCACATGAGTTACTATATCACAGCATGTTTTATAGTGGCGTTCTTTGCCAGATCTTACTATATTGGCTTCCTTTAAACCCTCCATATTTTATTTTATCCCACTTTAAAACATTATTCTGGAAGGGTCTGTAGACAGCCAAAGGGCTCCCTGTCACAAAAGAAGGTGAGAGTACCTAGTAGACCTGGATATAATCCAGCCATGGGAGCTCTGTATTTCTAATCTATGGTCTGGCCAGGAGGTGCGCTCTCACCTCAGGTTGCTGTTGGAGCCAGTGATTGGGCTGGATGTTGCTTTGCTCTGGGGTCCCTCTTCTGGGCAGGACTTGGCACTGGGCTGCCACAGCCACCTGCACAGCTGTCTTCTCCCCCGCTCCTGCTCTGTGCTGCTGAGCTGCCCTCCCTGTGGCCCGCACTCCCCAGTGAGCTGCGCTGTGTCTGTGCCAATGAATGATAGCACCCAGCTGTAGCTTGTGTAGCTGAGCCCCGCTCTGTGCCAGCCTCCTGGCAGCTCAGGGAGGCCGGTGCTGTTTCCACACTTACTTTTGAGGTGGGGTGACTGAGAAGCCACTTTGAACCTGTGTGGTTCAAAGCCACACAGCTGGTAAGTGGTTGAGCCACAATTACACCCTAGATCTGTCCTGCTTTGGGACGTGTACTCTGGACCCTCCTATGAGGTCACCACTGTGTCCCCTATGCCCAGCTCAGGCAGGAGCGTGATAAATAGGTCTTGAATGCCAGGTTCTGTGCTGTAGGTGGTATTTCATAGAGAGGGGAGAGGGGAGGCAGCGCTTGCTAAGACGCAGACCCCCAGGTCCCACCCATGTCTTTTGAATCAGGACACAGTCATGCACTGATCAATGCTGAGACATGTTTTGTGAAGTGCACCGTTGTGCAGCTTGCCAGTGTGCAAACGCACAGTGTACTTACACTCAGATGGCGTGGGTCAGTCACCTGACACGTTTCTACATAGAAGAGGCGTATGGGACATGGACAAGGCTGCTGCCAATGTCACAGATTGCCTTACAGTAAACTCAGGGTTTTTTGTTTTCGTTTTGCAGTACTGAGGGTTGAACCCAAAGGCTTTCCACTGAGCTACATCCCCAGCCCATTTTATTTTTATTATTTTATTATTATTTTTGCAGTACTGGAGACTGAACCCAGGCCTTCACACTAAGCTGGATCCCCAGCCCTTTGTACTTTGTGAATTTTGAGACAGGATATCACTGAGACACTGAGTTGCCCACCTTGTGGTCCTCCTGCTTCAGCCTCCCAGGGTGTTGGGATTAATAGCCATGCACCATTATGCCCCATTAGTAAACTCTGTTTCACAAGTAGGAATATACTTTACCGTAATGGTAAAATGCATAACATAGTAAAGACATGAACAAGTATCACAGTGCTTTGGTGTCATTGTGAGGCTTTTTGTACTGTACGTAGAGATGTGTGCCACACTTTTGTACACCTGGCAGTCAGCAGGTTTGTCAATTCCATCATCACCACACACACACACACACACACACACACGAGGAATGTCCTTACCGTGCCCTATAGGAATTTCTCAGCTCTGTTCCTAGCTTATGTGTTCTGTCGTTGACGGAAACCTTATGTATCTGCGGCAGGTGCCAACAATCTGCTTTTTACATCTCAGACTGTTGGGAAGCACGTTGAATTTTAAGACTCTCCCTACGGGGGGGGATAATGATGACACGGAGCAGCGCTGTTCTGAGCACTTTCCATCCGTCATCTATTTAATCAGCAGAGCTGGGCCTCTGGCTGCGGGCTGGGTGTGCTTCTCCCTCTCCATGAGCAGTCCCCACCTGAGACGCTTCCTGGCTGAGAAGAGACGGGATCCTGTGGCAGAAGGGGATGCGGGTGCAGGAAGCTCCGGCCCCTGCGAGGCTGCGCTGACGGCTTCCAGTCTGCATTGCTCACTGGGCAGAGGCCCTGTGCAGTTCTGTGCAGGTCGCCCAGAGCAGGGACTGCGCCAGGGCATAGAGTAAGGGTAGGGGTCGGAGCCTGGCACTGCCTGAGCGGCTGCCTGGCAGGGGCACAGAGCGCTCCCATCTTTGTATGGGGGGGCGGTGGTCAAGGTTTGGGGCAGGAGTTCAGCACCCAAGCTCTACCCTCAGACAGACCAAGGGTCCAGCTCAGGCTCAGCCACTTACCAGCTGTGTGACTTCCCACAGGGCTTCACCCCTCTGAGTCTTAGTTTCTCCTCCTGTGAAATGGGACTACTAACAGCTCCTGCCCTTTGGGGTTGAGTTATGTAACACCTCCAGGTTCTCACAAGTCTCACCCCCTTAGGTAAGTCCTGTATCAGACGGGATGCCAGATGATTTTCTATGCATCCATGTGCTGCTTTTTTAAAAAAATTAGAAAACACATTGACCTCCACATCAACCAACTGCAGCTGGGTTTCGTGGGTTTACCCAAGTCACACCGGGGTCGTGTAATGCTCACGTTGTCTATCCATGGTGCAGAGGAGGGATGTGGTGACCTGCAACCCGCAGAACCAATCCATCTTGCCGCCTCGACCATAAATGGTCCTGCTGGAACACGGCCACATGCGTTCATGTATGTGTCATCTGCGTGTCCTTGTGTGCTACAGAAGCAGCATCAAGTTGCTGAGACAGACGGTGACTTTATGGGCATTCACTAACGCAGCCCACTGACCCCTGGTGGGGATGGTGGGTCACAGGAAGTTTGGGAAACAGGTACAGGGGAAAGAAGTCGTCATGACCCCACCCCACAGGGCTGTGCATTCCTTGGACTGTCCGTGTCCCTGCTGGTCTGTGCCCGTGTGAGGTTGTGACAGTGATCCAGTCTTTTGCAAGCTGGCCATGGGAGTCTGGGTGGAAGCTGTGTGGCTCTTCACAGCGTGCTTTGCTTTGGGCATTGTTCCCACCTCGCAGACAGCACCGAGGCGCAGAGCTGCCACAGGTTGTCTTGGGGCACCAGCTCCAAGTGGAGGAGCCTGGATGTAGTCCCTGGGCTCATCTCTCCCCACCCTCAGCTGTGCCTAAAAGGGTGCTGAGCTGGCCTTCAAGGCAAGGCAGGCACGGCCCGTGGGGACTGTGCTTTGGTTATTTTAGGAAAAAAAAAAAGAGAGAGAAGAGATCCCAGGTTTAGCAACACAGACTCAAGAGACACTGAAGGGAGTTTCACTCCTGGCTCCCCAGCTGGCCAGCTGTGTGGCCTTGGGCTCTTTGAGCCATAGTAAATGAACAGCTCATAAAGAGTCAGGGAAGTCTCGGGAACTGCGCTGTGAGGATGAAAGACAGTGAGGTAGGTAGAGCCCTAGCCCGGAGCCCACTCTGTGAGTTCACTGAGGCTGAGCTGTCCCTGCCCCAGCCACTGCACGTGCCCCAGCCACTCCAAACTGTGGGGTGGCCAAAGGCGTGGAGTGACTTTTTCCTTCCTCATCTGTGGGATCTGGCAGGCTTTTCTCGGGTGGCTTCGCTCCTGAGTGGTCATAGGTTTCTAATGCCCCAGGACACTTGACCCCCCAGCTCTGCATGGGAGGGTTTGTCACTGCCCTGGGAGCTGGTGTCACCATGGCCTGGCAGGGTGGGTGGTGGCCGTGGTGACAGAATGTTTGGGAGCCAGTTCCCTCCGAGGGATCCATTGCTGAGTGGCCTATGAGCCCTGGGCCCCCTTCCAAGGCCGCTTTGTAAGTACAGTGACCCACTTCCTCAGCTGGCCGTGTACACTACCCCCCCATCTTTTCTTGGGAACCACTTGACCTGCTGAGCTCGGAGGAATGCCAATGTACAAAGCTCCGCTGGGTTTCAGCCAGAACGTCGCCGCCGTCTTCATGCCCTCTGGATGTCTGCATCTCACTGGGGTCGGAGCCATCTAAGTGTCTAAGCCTCACCCGTTTCCTTGTCTCCCACAAGGACCTCAGCTCTGTGAGAGCCGTGACCTTAACGTGTCCCGCTGGCTCGGGCCGAGCCAGGTGCCTGGCGGACTGAGTGGATGTGCATCTGAGGAGACAGCTTAGGCCCAGCAGCCCTCTCCCTGCTGTCCCCTCCCTGACCCTTGGGTCGCCTGAGTCCACTGAAAGAGGGAACCAGGTCTCCTGCTGCCCCCATCCCAGGAGCTACTTGACCCCACACTAGGGACAGCATCCTGGGGACAGCTACGTTGGAAGCTGACCCTCTTCTCTGATTAGTGTGGCTTCTGCTAATCACATCATCTCTAGGGGTGGGACTTCCTCCTTATCAACGGGATAAAAATCACCTCCTCGAGAGCTGCTTCCCACTGTGGGCCGGGCAACTCCAGAGTACCCCAAGTCCTCCCTCTCCTAACCCTGCCTTGCGCTGGTTCTGTGTTCAAACAGGCCATTTCAAATACTTGGTAGCCACAGGTGAACCTTTTTCAGAGTATTATGATCCCCATTTCACAGATGAGGAAAGTGAGGCTCAGAGAGATCACACAGCAAGTGGCAGGGGCAGCTGGGATGCAGTTGAAAAATCAACTAGTCACTTTGTGATTTTATCATATGGGAAGACACTATTAAAGCCCCATGGAAGTGTCCATGTGGGTCTTTTTGGTTTTGCTTTTTACGGCTCTGGGCATTAAACCTAGGGCCTTCACACTGAGCTACATCTCCAGCCCTTTTTTAAAAAAATTTGAGACGGGATCTCACTAAGTTGCCCAGGCTTGACTTGAACTTGAAATCCTCCTGCCTCAGTCTCCCAGAGTGCTCGGATTATGGAAGTGGATTTTTAGGAAAAAATATCACCTTCTCCCCCTAGACACTACGGGTAGAATTTTGAGTCTATTTCCATCTTTTTTTCCTCTCTGTGGTTCCTGTGTGTTGATTAGTTCAGCTGATTGGTCATTTTGCTTTGTGGCATGGTTCTATGTGGCAGTACCTAGGGCCTTTCTGGTCCACAAAGTGGAGAGCACAAGACACCCTCCCCTCCACGGAGCTGATGTGGAACAAGGCTGGGCCAGGCATAGACAGTCCTTGACTTGACATGAAATACACCTTAGTAGTTAAGTAAATGCTCCCCACTATTACTGATGTTCTTCCCACTGTAAAGGAGGGCTCCAGGACCCCCACACTTGCCTGTCCCCTGTCCTCCAAGACAGTGCTGTCCCATGAATTCTCAGCACTGGGAATGTTCTAGCCCTGAGGTCAGCAAACTTCTGTAAATGTCCATTCGGTAAGTATTTCAGGGTTTGTGGTGCACGTATGATTCATGCTGCTGTTATTGCTGCAGATTCTTCTTGTCCTCCTTTCCTTCCTGTCTCCCTTGACAAAATGTACAGTCATCCCTCGGTCCCTGGGGGGATGGGCCCCAGGGTCCTCCCCTGGCAAATCCCCTTGAAATCCGCGGGTACTCAAGTCCTTTCTATGAAATGACATGGTATTCGGTATTTGTGCATGTTCATGTATTCTTTAAATCATCTCTGGATTATTTCTAACACCCAATACAATGTAAATACCATGCAGATAATTGTTTAGAGAATCCACAAAAGGAGAGTCTGCACGTGTTTAGTATAGGTGCAGTTCTTTCTCCAAATATTTTCCTCCAAAGGCTGGGTGAGTCTGCCCATGCAGAACCCACAGATGCCACGGGCTGGCTGTACCACCCATTCTGAGCCCGGGGCTGGGTAGGAAGAGACCCTGGCTTGGATGTGGTTTGAGAGCTGTGGTTTACAGCCTCGTCCAGAGCCAGGCCACCCCGAAATGTAGGCGCTGGCCACATGTGGCTTCTGGATGCTCCAAGTATGGCCACTGGGAACCAGAAGCTGTATTTGAAATCGTATCCAATTTGGCTGAATTTGAGTTTCAGTAACTTCACATTTCTTGTGGCTGCGTGTCGGACACAGAGCTCCAAGTCACCAGAAGCCCCAACAGCCCTGTCCCGTGGATCTGAAAGGGCCTGCATTCCCGGAGGGGAAGCTGGGCACAGGCCTGGGAGCTGCAGGCCAGCGGCTGGGCCTGAGCAAACCTGCCTCAGGCACAGCTTCGAGCGCTGTGGCCCTGGTTCATTGTCTTTGTTCCCAGAGGGCAGGCCTGGAATCATGGGGAGCTGTGCTCCAGGGGAGCCTGAGAATTCTGCAGTGTAGGGACAGGATGGGGGTTGGCTGCTGAGGTTGTACCTGGGCCCCTTCTGCAGCTGGGCCTTGATGTACAAATCGGGCTGGGATCTCAACAAGAGGAGCAATTGTAGAGGTAGAGGGTAATGGGTAATGAAGTACAGGAAGGAGGGAGGGAGGGCAGAGAAGTGCAGTATACAACCAGTTTATTGCCATCGTGGTGCAAGTAGTAATCATCGCTGATAGTTTTAAGTGCTTGCTGACGTCTTGCTTGAGCTTCCCAATAGCCCTTTTTACAGACTAGGTAAACTGAGGCTCCAAAAAGTCACAGTGTGTCAGGGAGACTGGACCAGGGGCAGCGGAGCCTGGGACTCAGTGAGTGCCCCTCCTAGGCCTCAGTTGTACCATCTGTTAAATGGGGGAAGGTAGACTAAAGCACTAAATTGGATTTAAAGGTCTCCACACTCTAATGGTAAGGACACACCATCAAGCTGTATGTTCCCCCCCACTTCAAGCCCCCAGGGTGCCCTGTATTTATCCTCGCCCAGTCCTGGCTGTGTGCCAGGCCCCATCTGAACAGCCTCGTTCCTGAAAGACAGTGGTTAAGAGCTGGGCATCAAAGTCTCACAAACCCAGATGGGGAAACGTTCTATTCGTTCTTCGAGGCCATTCCTCTTCCTCTTGGTGGTATTGGGTTTTCTCATCTGTAAATTTGGGAACATCCTGCTTTGTTCTTTTGAGGTATGCATTACACAGGTACTGTGCTCACCGGGCATTTGACCAGTGCCAAGACATTGTCCAGCTCCAGGGAGCTCTTGTTCATCAGAGGCTGGGAGTTTGAACACGGTGCACAACCTGATCACACATACCTAGCAGCAACAAATAGTAGCTATTTGTTGATGCTTATTGTTATTCTTACTTTTTCTTGAAGTCCAGGGTCCCAAAAGGAGGGGAGAGGCCTGGTTGGCTGAGACTCAGCAGCTCCCTAATCTCTTAGCCTTATGTCTTGGCTCATGTGTCTCTGGCTGTGAAGCAAGCCGGTCCATTTCCTATAGGAACAGGGGACGTCTTTCCCCAGAGCCCCTCTCCTGAGTGTCACACGCCATGGCTAATGCAGCCTCTCCTTTGTCTGTGCAGGGCGGTGCCGGCAGAAGGCTGTGGTGAGCAGGCTCATGGGCAGAGGCCGGGCGATGAGAGTGCCCAGGGGAGGTGAGTGCGCACAGAAGCCGCGCAGCCCAGCTTTCCTCCCAGTCCCTGGGCACAGGCTGCCCCGCTCCCGCCGCCCCAGACACAGGGTCAGCACATGTCTTGGCCAGTGCTCACTCTGCTGCTACTGAAAAATCTTGTGCCAGGAAAAGCAGTGCCAGCAGTATGGGGCGTGCATGAGCCCACGCTCCTTGCCTCTTCAGAAGACAGGGAAAGCGTGCTCCATCCCAGGTCCGTGGGGGACCTGTCTGTGCCCCAGAGCAGATGCTGGCATGACCAGAACCCAGCCATCCTGTGCCCACGCCTGCCTGCTCAGTGCCTCCTGCCAGAGCCTATGACCCTCCTGTCAGCTGCCCTGAGAAGAGGTTCTTGTTGTCCCTCTTTATGATGGAGACAGTGGAAGCTTAGAGATATGACGTCCCTTGTCCAGGTCACCAGCTGACAAGTAGCAGAGGTGGGATTTGAACCTGGGCCTGCAGGACCGCAAGTCCAAGGCCTCCCTGCCATGCTCCTGCCAGGATCCCTGTGGCCTTTCAAGACATCACCTGGGTCTTTCTGCACTGGTTTATGTGGAACTGTTTTTCTCTGGACAGCATGGCCTTGGCTTTGGCCCACACAGGCCTTAAAGGACTTTGCTGGCTGTGCAAACTCGGACAAGCTGCTGCTTCTCTGAGCTCAGATGAGGCGTGGAAAGTGCCTTAGCAGAGTGAGTGCTCTGTCAGTGTGAGGACCCAAAACTCAGGGCCATAGCTGAGCTTCAAGTACAGAAGCCACTGTGTGTTACGAGTGGGTAACACTTTCCTTTTTCTGTCTGTCCCTCTTACGGGCTTTTTTCCTTTGGTATTTAGTATCTAAATCGCTAGCCCAAAGGTTCATGAGTCACTGCACACACACACACACACACACACACGCATCCACACTAGGCCTACCCTCTCGGGAAGGCATTTTCAGTGTCTGAATAGTTCCCCTTCTCCATCTCCTCTCTCAGAGAGTGATTGTTGGCAGTGGTCAAGGTGTGACTGACAGCTCCCTGGAGGTGTTGACAGTGATCCCAGTAACAGGCAGAACTTCCCTCTCAGTCTAAAGAGAGAATTTCCTCGAGCACTTGAAGAAGCCAAGCGTCCTTGGGGGTATTTCTGAGTGGCTTCTTATCCCATCCGGTCTGTCTTACCCTGAAAACAGCCTGGAGTTACCTTCCTGTCACAGGCCTGAGATTGAGGGTGTCAGTGACCCCAACGCTGTCAGCAGCACTGAGTGGGCCTGCGTTGCGCAGGGGAGGACTTCTGTCCACTATCTGACACTCGCTCTTGCTTTTCCAGCTGCCCCCTCCCCTCGAGGACAGTGGGTCCTCCCATATTTCGCAGCTGTAGGAGCTGTGGCTCAGGTGGGGGACATGGCTCCCCAGGCCCACAGACAGGAAGCATTCGAGCTCTTGGCATTTTGACAGCAGCCTTGGGACAGTGCCCCTCAGCTTTGATGTTCATTTTACATTTGCTGCAGCCCAAGGCGGCCCAGGCAGCCCCTGCCCTATGGGTGTGTTGACCCAGATGCATACCAGCTCCTGGAATAGGTTGAACCTTAACGTCCTCAGTTGAACCTTACGTCCCAGCAAGGAGCACCACCTCCCCATGCTGGCATCAGCCCCTCCTGTGTTCATCAAGCCTCGATTGTGCTGCCTTCTTTCTTCCTGGCTTTGGCAGGGGCTGCTCTCTCTGCTGCTCTTCTCCACCTGCAGACTTCCTCCCTGCAATTCGGAGTTTGGCCTGATGGCCTCCTGCAGAAGGCCTGGGGAACCTGTTACCCTTCCGGGCAGGCCCACAGTGTGAGCAGACTCAGGAGCCTGTAGCTCAGTGCTAAGCACCGCAGCCCAGCTTGGGCACTTACTTGATGTTGGAATGAATGAATGAGCAGTGATCAAGGTAGAAATCACTAATATTCTTTCCAGTCTTGCCTATGTGCTGGGCACCTTCCTCAGTGTTTTCTTTCTTTTTCTAAGTTTTTTTTATTTTACCAAAAAATAAAAACTTTGTAAAAGAATAATAAAAGATAACAGTAGTTAATATATTATGTATTCTCTTCAATAGTTAATATATTATGTATACTCTTTAGAGTACCAGACATACACAAAAAAGATTCTGTCTTACAAAGAAGAACCAGAAACAAAACTTTTTTGTTTTGAGCCAAGGTCTTGCCATGCAGTTCAGGCTGATTTGTAGCCCAGGCTGGCCTCAAACTCAGTGATCCTCCTGCCTCAGCCTCCTGAGTGCTGGGATTACAGGGGTGCATCACCACACCCAGCAAAACTTTCTTTTCAGTGGACTAAGAAAAACTAGTAGTAGAAATGAAACAAGTTAGCATATATGTTAAAATATTCTTGGGGCATTTGTAGGTCAATGGACGCAACCTGAGAACATAATGTTAAGTGAAAGAAGTCAGACACACATGATTGACTATTGCATGGTTTCTTTTATGTGAGAAACTCAAAGTATATATATATATATATACATATATATACACACACACAAATAAAGAGCAAAATACAAGATAGATAAGTAGGAAGTAGGGAAAAGTTCAGACCCCCAAATTGCCTGTTCTGTTGTTTCAGTGTTTTCTGTGGGAGGATTGTTCATGTTTGCGATATCCCTTTGAGGTTGGCACACCCTGTTTTAGATGAGGCGCAGAGAAGTTAAGCGTGTTGCCCACATCCGAGGAGTGGCAGAGCTGGAGTTAGAGCCCAGGCCTACCTGATCTTTGGTTCTGAAAGAAGGTGGGAGGGGCAGATGGGGAAACTAAGGCTCAGAGACACTACAGAGGAGAGGCAGAGAAGTGGTCTGAGATTTGCTGAGTATCCCTGCAGGAGCCAAGTTTGCACCCGCTTCATTGGGCTGAGGTTGCAAAGTCAGGGTCCTTGGGATGAACTGGGGAGGGGGACAGATCTGCCATTTGAGAGGCTTGGGGAGGAGAGCAATGGGCTGGATGCACCCCTGCTTTTCTAAATAAGCCCCAATCTGAATCACACGACAGTCTGATCTTTGTGAGCAACCCTTGGGACGGGTGAGGAGTGTAGACTTGGGTTTCCCATCCACCTCCTGGTGATCCCCTCCCGTCATCTCCCCGTCAATGTGCAGCCCTGGATTCTCGGCCCCCACCCAGCCTGACCTCCCTTTATGCCCTGCAGGCCCTCAGGGCTGCCCTAGGATCAGTCCAGCTCTGAGTCCTTCCCTAGGACCTGGCCACGGTCCTAAAGCGTTCCCCCTACTCTTACCCTCTCTCATCTCAGGGCCTTTACCATCTGTTCCCTGTGCCCAGAACACTCTTCCCACACATCTTCACATGCACAGCTCCTCACCCAGGTCTGGCTTAGGTGCCACCCCCACTCCCACAGCCCCCCCCTTGGCCTTCTTCCTCCTTCCCTGCTTGGTCCCCCCAACAGTGTCTAGTTGCTTCCTTTGTAAGGAGTGGCACGGTTTGTCTACCCCTTGTTCACACTGAATTCCTTGAGTTTAGAGTCCTGGCTCCTTTGTCACTGTCGTGATTGCAGCCCCAGGCCAGGTGTCTGGCACCTTGAAATGTTTAATAAACATTTGTCCAATGAAGATGGAGTGAATAGATGCTGATTCTAGCAGAAAATGACTCCTGCCCAGGTAGGATGTGGTTCTTCAGGACAGGTGTCAGGGCTGGCTGGCCTGGGCTTGATGCTTGGACTCTGGCTTGGCTCCTCCCCAGCTGGGCTACTTTGAGCAACCTCTCCGAGCCTCCGTTTCCCCCTCACTCTGCAAGAGTGATTTCATTCTCAGCGCTGACTCTGTGCCAGGGCCCGCTCATTCACCCAGAGCGCATTTCGTAAGTGTTCACTGAGCAGCCAGTAGGTGCCGAGCACCACGCTGAGATCTGGGACACAGTGCTGGGCAAACGCTCTGCCTCAGCGGAACGGATGTACTGCTGCAATCTCACATTCACACGTTGTTGGTAAATTTTGATAATAAATGTTACGGTAATTTACTATCAAAACGACACCCGTCTCCATTGGTGAGATGAGACAGTTCCAGCATGGAGAAGTGAAGGAAGCGGCAAGGGCCCCCCAACCGACAAACGGTGCAAGATATTTGAACCTCGGCTGTCCACCTGGAGTCCCAGATGGTTTTTTTTTTTTTTTTTGGTTTTTCTCCGGTACCAGGAACCGAACTCATGACCTTGCGCTTGCCAGGCAGGCGCTTTGCCGCTGAGCTAAATCCGCAGCCCCTCCCAGATGGTTGTAATAGCCTTTGGGGTGACAGCTATTCCCGAGAGTTAGGTAGGCACAGTGCCCAACACAGTGCACATGGCAGTGCCCATGAAACGTGCTCTGCCCTTGACTTAGCAGCTCACCGTCCCTACCAGCTCGTCCTGCAAAAATGCTTGCTGGCCACATGCCTCCCTGATTGCGCATGTCCTCCTCTCTCCCCAGATGCAAGTCCGGCAGGCCACAGGCTAATCTGTCGCTGAAGTGGCCCCCCAGGCTGGACCTGCCCCGGCCCGGCATGCGCCTCTCGGTGCGCAGGGCGCTGCTGGCAGCCGGCTGCGCCCTGGCCCTGGTGCTGGCCGTGCAGCTTGGGCAGGAGGTGCTGGAGTGTCGTGCGGTGCTGACGGGCCCACGGAGCCCCCGGCGGGCCATGAGGCCGGAGAAGGAAGAGCTGGTGATGCTGGGCACAAACCATGTGGAATACCGCTACGGCAAAGCCATGCCGCTCATCTTCGTAGGTGGCGTGCCTCGCAGCGGCACCACGCTGATGCGCGCCATGCTGGATGCACATCCTGAGGTGCGCTGTGGTGAGGAGACCCGCATCATCCCCCGTGTGCTGGCCATGCGCCAGGCCTGGTCCAAGTCTGGCAAAGAGAAGCTGCGGTTGGATGAGGCGGGTGTGACAGATGAGGTGATGGACTCTGCCATGCAGGCCTTCATCCTGGAGGTGATCGCCAAGCACGGTGAGCCGGCGCGTGTACTGTGCAACAAGGACCCCTTCACGCTGAAGTCCTCCGTCTACCTGTCACGCCTGTTCCCCAACTCCAAGTTCCTGCTGATGGTGCGGGACGGCCGGGCCTCCGTGCACTCCATGATCACACGCAAGGTCACCATCGCTGGCTTTGACCTCAGCAGCTATCGTGACTGCCTCACCAAGTGGAACAAGGCCATCGAGGTGATGTACGCGCAGTGCATGGAGGTGGGCAAGGACAAGTGCCTACCAGTGTACTATGAGCAGCTGGTGCTGCACCCCCGGCGCTCCCTGCAGGTCATCCTGGACTTCCTGGGCATCGCCTGGAGCGATGCCGTCCTGCACCATGAAGACCTCATTGGAAAGCCTGGTGGCGTCTCCCTGTCCAAGTGAGTGGGATGCCCGGCTGTGCCTGTGGGAGCTGTGTGGCAGCCCCCCAGTCCTCCCTGGGTACCAGCTCGCTCTCCCATGGGTACCAGATCCTCCTGCCCTAGCCCCATGGCACTGTGTAAGCCGCTGCTCCTCACTGAGCCCCGGTGTCAGTATTCGTGGGAGCAGTCCCTCTTCTCTCTGACAGTCAGGGCGGTCTGACCATGCTTTGGAGGAAGGCCACAGAGGGAGAAGGTGAATGTGAGAGCACAGACTCCAGAACCAAGCTCTCTGGGTCCAGAGCCCCGCTCTGCGAACTCCCTGCTGTGTGACTTTAGGCAAGTGACTTGATCTGTCTGTGCTATCATTGCTCACCTGTGACAGGGAATGTACCCTGTGTGCCTCATAGACACCTGTGAGCATCAGACAGGTCGATACGTGGTGCTGTTACTTCTCTCATCAATGCTGTGAGTGCTGTCATTGTTTCTGAGTGTTGGTACTGCATTTATTGGACTACAGGTCGACCTCACCATTGTGACCATTTATTCAGTGTTGCTACACAGCAAGTCCTGGGTTATGCCCCCAACAAACACCATTGCCTTTAATCCTCAGCTTGTGTTATTTTAGTTTTGCTCCCCATGTTATTTTAGTTTTTATTTGTGGTACTGGGGATTGGACTCAGGGAGTGCTGAGCTACATACCCACCCTTTTCTTTTTTATTTTGAGATAGGGTCTCACTAAGTTGCCGAGGCTGGGCTCCAGCTTGCATTCCTCTTGCCTCGGTCTCTGGAGTAGCTGGGATGACAGACAGTACCACTATGCCTGGCTCTGATCTCATTTTGGAGATGAAGAAAGTGAATCCCAGAGAGAAGTTACAGGCCCAGGGCCACACAGCCAACAAACCGTGGTGCTAGGGTCTGCACACAGGTCCACTGGACTCCTGAATGTGTGCCCCTAAGCTCCCGTGTCCGACCAAAGTGTCCGGTGATTGGGGATGTTAAACGCAAGAGGGTAACATGTGGCGTGGAATATTCCACAGCTGTCTCCCGCCCCTCCTGCCCTCTGCTCTCTGTCCTACACTCTTCACCCTCCTCCTCAGAGAGGCCATGTCCCTCTTCTGAGCCCTGGAATGATGCAGGAACAGAATATGCAGTCTCCACGTTCCCCTCCTGATCAGACTTAGGCGGCCCTGAGCATGAGCAGAAGGACGATGTCCCAGAGACGGGGGACGGCCCTACCCCTGTGGCTGGTCAGTCTGACAGCTCCGGAGGCTCGAGGAGAGCTGGAACTTCCAGCTGCGTGGCATTGGCACTGGAGTGGCCACCGCGTGATCACAACAGAAAGTCAAATTGGTGAAGGAATTGGAGAAAAGCAGGAAACACAACCTCTGATCCCACCACTCACATTTTCTTAGAGCACCCACTGGTCCTTTTCTGGGTAGAGTGATAAGGCTGCAGTCCTACTGAACATGTTCACTGTGGCCATTTTTCACTTTGTGTATGGGACCACTTGCCCAGCACACCTGGAACTCTGCTGTGACATCATTTGGAATGGCTGTGTAATATTCCACTCCACAGATTACTGCATTCTACTGAACATCCCCTGTCACTGGACACTTGGGATATTTCTAGTTTTACTGGTATGTGTCAAACATTGTTACTGTTTGTGTGCTGAGATGCATCCCTGTTGGTCCTATATGATAAAGTCCTGCAGAGGTAAAGGTGGTAAAAGCCATGCTCGTCTTTGAGATTTTTGTCACATTGGATAGATTTGATGTTTATATGCAGGCCCACAGACACCAAAGGCGTGCTCTTTCCACCTGTCCACACCCTTTCACCTCCGCTCCTTCTCGCTCCCAGGCCTGTGTTCCTTTTGCTACATCTTTTGGCTTCTGTTCTTCCCCAAACGATCTCCTAAGTGAGATAGAAGCTCCCGGAAATATGGCCTGATTCTGCAGGTTCTCCACCCCTCAGCCTGTGCTAACTGGTAAGATCCTGTGGTTCTGATGGCCTGGCAGTCTTGGAGCTGGGGAGAGTCACAAGGCACACAGAAATGATGGCTCTGCTGTGTCAACAGTGTAAGAGTGAAGCCAACCTAATGCCCGTGCATTAGTAGGAAGTAAGCTATGGCACATTCATACGATGGAGCACGACACCACTGTAAAAGGGCGGAGTGTGGAGGGAAAATAGTTGTAGACCAAGGCATATAACATTTAACTTCTGTCTTAAAAGCAGCAAACATAGCCAGTCAAGTTACTAATTTTCCAGAGCAGCCCAGTGAGGTGAGCACTGCTATTATCCCCATTTACATATGAGGAAATCGAGACTCAGAAAGGTAAAGTCACTCTGCCAAGGCGCCACAAGCCAGTGTTGCCACAGCTGGCTTTTGAGTCCAGGAGTCTGGCTCCTTAGTTGGGCCTGAACTGCCCTCCTGTTGGAAACACTGCAAGGGTGTCTGGCAGCCGCGAAGACCAGGCACCTACAGGAAGCTGGTGATGCTAGGGACTTATAGCCTCACCATTCCTATGGAGATATAGATATATCTATATCTATATCTATCTCTATATCTATATCTATCTATCTATCTATCTATCTATTTTTTTTCTTTTTTTTGTACTGAGGATTGAACCTAGGGTCTTTACACAGAGCTCCATCCCCAGCTTTTATTATTATTTTAATTGAAACTAAATCTTGCGAAGTTGCTCAGGCTGGGCTCAAACTTGTGACCCTCCTGCCTCAGCCTCCCGGAGTGCTGGCATTACAGGCATATGTCGCCCTACCTGACTTGTATGTAATCACTTGTTTGAAGGACAAAATATTTATGTTAGTCATAGACATAGAGTTTTGTTTTGAAAGAGTCAGGGCGGTCAAGGAAGCAGGATTTCTGCACCACCTAGTAGCACTTCTCTCTCCACATGCTCTTCCCCGTTGCACAGAGGAAGTAGGTGAGGCGAACACCTCGCCACACTCCCAGGCTGTGCGGCGGATCTGGTCAGGGGCAGGTCCTCCCAGCCTTTCTTGCTGCCCCTGCCCTCACCCGACTGTTCTCTCTCCCCAGGATCGAGCGGTCCACGGATCAGGTCATCAAGCCTGTGAACCTGGAAGCCCTCTCCAAGTGGACCGGCCACATCCCTGGGGATGTGGTGAGGGACATGGCCCAGATCGCCCCCATGCTGGCTCGGCTAGGCTATGACCCATATGCAAACCCACCCAACTATGGCAACCCTGACCCCTTCGTCATCAACAACACACGCCGGGTGAGTGCACGCCTGGGGCCATGTTCTCAGGCTTCGGCAAGACTGTGAGTTCTGGGTCCCTGCAAAACCTTTAGTCTCCAGACTCAGCCTCTGGTGGACACGGTGCATTGTATGCCTGCTGGTGTTCCTATTTTGGCTTGGGTTGCTAGGAAGCTCAAAGCAACTGGTAGCCTGCATTTCACACTCTGTAACATGTCACGGCAGACCCGTTTGTGCACTAATTTCATCTTGCTTCTCTTTATTTACCTATTTTCTTCTGTTTTCTTCATTTTTTATTTACTTATTTATTTTTGGTCGTACTGGGAATCGAACTCATGACCTCATGCTTACAATGCAAGTGCTGTGCCACTGAGCTATATCCCCAGCCCTCTGTCCTGTTTTCGTGGCTCTTTGTTGATTTGTTTCAAGTCTGCTGATAGTGGGCATAAATATATAAACTGTGGGTCCCTTTTCTGGTCCATAAGGTTTAATGTTGATTTCACAAACAAACATGAGTTTAGAGCTATCCAAATTATTTTTTCAAAATATGTTTTTGAGATGGGGTCTCATTGTGCTACTCAGGCTGGACTTGAACTCTTGGGCTCAAGTAATTCTCCTGTCTCAGCCTCCAGAGTAGCTGGGATTATAAGATACGCCTATAATCCTAGCTATTCTGCACTGTATCAGCTTAAATTACATTTTAAATGTTCCTTAGGGTAGCCAAGGGACGTGTCTTTTTCACTTTTTTTGTTTGTTTTTTGAGACAGGGTCTCACTATGTAGCTTGCTGCAGCCTCCTGCCTCAGCTACCCGAGTGCTAGGACTGCAGGAGAAATGACTTAGACAGGTGTTTTGAAATGTTAAAGGAGGTCACTACGCTAGGTAAAGGAACAGTTGACAAGGTCACAGCCTTATTTACATGTTCCCATCCCAGCTTGTGGTTTACTCTTGGATGCTGTTTTCTGACTCCCTCAGAGTCCCTAAGGTAATTAAAGTACAGTCACTTTCAGCTTGATGACATTGCAGTCAGTGACAGTCCACATATGGGATGGTGTCCCCATAAGCACTATCATAATGATAGTGCTGAAGTCGTCACTGCCCGTTACGCATGTGTGTGTGGCAGTGCTGGTGTTGTACACAAGTAGTGCACAGATGTGCAGTGGAGAAAATTAGTGCACAGTGTGCCTTTCCCAGGAGGTGTTCCCGTTGGTCATTAAGCAATGCGTGACTGCTCTTGAGGCTGGCAGCTGGCCTGAGGAAGAGCCCACCTCACTCGTGAGTCACTGCAGGCCAAAGTCTTGATTTTGGGCTCAGCTCAGCATTTCTGAACATGTGCTGATGTCAGAAAATAAACAGCTATTGTACCGAATCGCAGAAGGAGCAAGTCATCCTTCCCTCAATTCTCCTTTAAATTCTTCTTCTTGGCTCAAGGAGTCTCCATTTGGCAATAACAAGTCCCTTTTAAGATTTTCTTTTCTAGCACTGCAAAAAAGAAATAAATGAGGCATCATTGCCTGGTAATAATGATAGACTGGATGAAAAGAAGGGTCTGGCGACCATCTTGAAGTCCAGTCCCCCTGTGTTTTATAGCAGTAGTGGCTGAGGCAGGCAGTGGCCAGCAGCAGCTCCTCAGGGGTCCCTTTAAAAGGTGAGGGCCCCTGGTGTGTCCCAGAGTGAGGTCAGAAGCTCCTAGAGTAAAGCCAGACTTTGTGTATTTTATGAAACACAAATAATTCTAATGAGCACTGGTTAAGATCAACTCTTGGAGGTTTTTCTGTTTGTTTAAAATACAAGATGTTCCTCGCTTTTTTCCACAGAGGTTTCTTCCTCGTGGATTCCATAAGCCTGGGCAGGTGCCAGACACCCTGCTTCATATAATGGCTGGTCAAAAACTACAGTGCATGCTTAAATAAAAACTTATTACAGCAAAGGACACATTGCCATGAATCTCCCTCAAACTACTTCCACTCCCTTCGAACACACTTAGCCCTTTGTTCTCGCCACTTTCTGAGGCAGTTCTGGAAGTCCTCTTTCCTGAGTGTCTTTATGAGGTGAGATCAAAACATGGTGAGTGCTGCCATCCAATGGAAAGTCAGCTAATAAAAACATTACAGTGTGTGCTTGTCCACCTTATTCACTGGATCTGGCACTGTATGACTTCTGGCTCTTCCCTTAATCAAAATGACCACAGAAAGTAAATGTTTTGAATCCGCTCAGCCATGAAGGTACAGTTGAAGATACACACAAAAGAGGACTTTAGAACTGCTTTAGAAAGTGTAAGAATGGTAGGATAATTGTGTTGGAAGTGAGGGGGAATATTTTGATGGGGACTAACAACCTGTCTTTTACTATAATCATTTTTAAAATTTAAACATCCACTGTATCTTGTGATCACACCTCGTATTTATAGTTGTTTTGCTGTTACTCAAGAGTAACCTTATGAAAAGCACATGTTTGCATACGTACAGCAGATACTGGGGTCCTGTAACAGATCCTGGGCTGCAGCAAACACAGTGACAGAAGCTACTGATCCTGTCATGTGAGACTAGTCCTTCTCGAGAGGTGCTGTAAGTGTGAAATACACTGGCGTTTGAACTCTTAGGACAAAAAAAAGATGTGATGTTTTCTCATTAGTCACTTCTATGTAGGGTACAGGTTGAAATGATCATCTTTTCTGTATTATCAGATTAAATAAAAGATATTATCAGCAGTACCTGTTTCATTATATTTTTTTAATGTGGCTACTAGAAATTTTAAGCTTACATAATTAGCTCACATTATATTTCTATTGGACAGCACCAGACAATATGGTGCCTTCCATGCCAGGACATAGTGGGAAAGCCCAGAATGTCCTGATTCCAACTTGAGAGCTTTTTCCCATGCTGTTTCCTCTACCTGGGATGCTTTTTCTTCTGAGTTTTGCTTGGTTGTTTTCCGGTATCTTTCAGGTCTCAGCTCTAAGCTTATCTGTTTCAAGAGGCCCTTCCTGACCACACACTCAAAAGAAACCCCTGATCACGCCTAATCATACATCTCTTTATGTTCTTCATGGCACTTTCACGGCTTCATATGTTCTTGTTTATCTGCTTATGTCACTTACAGGTCATCTGGTGCACTGTCTGAAATGGGAGCTCAAGGATAAAAATTTCAATTATCTGGTTATTGTTGGTACTGCTAATGCTTGGAATAAAAGGAGCTCATTACATGTTGGGTGGATAAATGCATGGATGGATGGATGGATGGAGAGAAGGGTATTTTGATGAGTGGGTGATTAGGTGAATGAGTAGATGAGTGGGTGGATGGAGAAGGATTAAAGATCGATGAATGAATAAATAGATGGAGGGATGAAGGGAAGGAGGAATGGGGAAGTAAGAGATGGATGGATATGTCAGGATGGGCTAAAATTTATTTTTCAGTTATTTCCACCGAAGTGAGATTTCTTTTCTATTTCCTAGGTCTTGAAAGGAGACTATAAGACACCAGCCAATCTGAAAGGATATTTTCAGGTTAGAAATCCCGAGGGGAACTCCAAACTCTGTTCTTCCTGGCATACATCACTAGCTTGATGTATGCCCTTGAAGAATTCATTTCTTCACTCTGACAATTTCTTCATCATAAACTTGCTTTGGGCCAGGGGTCGAGCCAGAGGGTCTGTAAGCACTTTTCTAGCTGGGGCCCAGTCTCAGCAGCCTTCTGCCCTAACCATCCTTCACCTCGTCTCTCAGCTTGAATGAAGTTGGAGGGACTTTGTGGCGACACTCTGAAGCTTTCAGTCTCTAGCATCAAATTCAGTCTTATTTAATTTAGCTGTTCTCAAGTACAAACAAATGCAGCAATTTCATCCATGTCTCTGGAAAAGAAACACGAGGGTAATGCGATGTACATGAATACCCTTCTGTATCCCCAAGGGCATCCATATGGCCGGGCCTCCCACAGATCAGGTTGTCCACATCACCTCGTCACCATCAACAAAGGGATGGGCCTTCATGACATAGCACAGGTAGCTCCTTTTACCCACGCTATAGCTGTCCTGTTGATGCTAAATGCCCCTCAATTATATACTTAATTTCTATTTCATAATCATTCAACTTAGCTTCTCTAGGTATGCTTTGGCACCGTAATATGTACCTTGGTGTTCATTCATTTTTTTTGGTACTGGGAATCTAACTCAGGACCTTGCCCTTGCTAGTCAGGCTTGAGCTGCTGAGCTAATTCCCCAGCCCAATAATATGCATCTTAATGACACAACACAGTTAAAAAGCTCTTTACAAGTTAATGTGATACCCTTGTCTCCAAATATTTTAATTGATTTATATTTGTTTAAAAATACACAGGAAGCATGTTTTATACTCCAAACTTTCTATAATATCAGTACCACAAAATAATGTATACAGATGTGAAAAAAATCTAGTTAGTATATAATCCTTTTCTTACCAGTACCCACTTTATTACATGGAATGGACATACTGTTTCAAAAAGCCTAGGAAATCCTGGCATTTGATCCACACAGTACCTCTGAAACTGTAACAGAGTACAAGTACAAATCACAGTATAGGACTAGAATTGTGGGTGAAAATGTTAGATGCCTAAATATTTTGGATAAAGAAATGTAAAATGAAGATTTGGGTCATGCATAAAGCAAGGCATCCTATTAGTCACTAATAGTACCTTTCTACAGAAGCAAGAGGCTTCTAATTTATTGGTTAAAAATACCCCTTTTAAATGGAAGAGTGGTGCTGAAATTAGTAGTTTTAGTTTGTGCATCTATTTTACTTGGCAAAATAGAGTGGCCCACTCTCTGGCAGTCCCCATTTTAATTATCAAGTTAATGAGTTCTGAGAACCCGGGGTTTGGGGTAGAGGCACAGCTTTTGAGCACTTTTGAGTTGCTTTAGGGTCAGTCCATGATCCCTTTGTTAGAATCAGAGATCCAGTTTTGCTGCCCTAAGATCCACCTTTGATACTTTAGTGAGCCCTAAAATATTTACTGAAACCTAAAAGATGTAGATTTTGTAACCTAAAAGAGCAAAACATGGAGGTGGGGATGGAGGGACATTATTTACAATCTGAAATTCTTTTCATTTTTGCATGTTGCCTCTTTTGTCTATCTGTATAAGCTTTTGGGTGTGGGTATGGGTGGTACTGGGGATTGAACCAGGGCCTTGCACATGCTAAGCTGGTGTTCTACCATTGAGCTATAACCCCACCCCTTTTAAAATTTTTTATTTTGAGGTAGGCTCTCGTAAATTGCCCAGGCTAGCTTCAGACTTGCAGTCCTCCTGTCTCAGCTTTCCAAGAAGCAGACCTACACTCAAACAACATACACATTTTTGCATTCATTGCAGTTCCACTTTGTGAGCTGTTGTGTCTCGCTGTCTTAATACCTTCCCATCTATTGTATTTTACTATTTTTGTTTATATGGCCACATAATGTTCTGTATCATCACCTGACACAATTGGTTAAGTGCTTTCTTAGGATCATTTCCAGTTTTTGCATCTTCCTGAATGATGTCTTCTGCTCACCATCATAATTTTGCCTCTTTGCTGTGAGTGAAGGGGTGCCCTATTAAATGTTCCCTTAGAATACATTTGTGTGGAGTGGAGTTGGCAGGGGCAAGGGTGTGACTATTTTGCAGACTCAAAACAACAAGGCTAAAATCTTACAAGGGGATTGAACCAGTTCATATTCTACTGCAGCACTGGTGTGTACGAGACATTGAACTGACCTGGGACTTGCTTTGCTGCTCTGAGGAGGAACATGAAGGGATAGCCATGTCCTTGCCATCACACACATGGCCCTCTCAGGATGGCTGCCCTGGAAATGGCCTCACAGCCCTGCTTTCTGCCCTCACCTCCTCCACTGTCCTTCCTGAGCACATGACATCATTCAGGACATGAAAGCTGAAAAACCATCTTAGGGAAGCCTTCAATGAATGGTGGCACATGCATTCCGTGGGACACAGGTAGCCTTTCAAAGGGGTAATCATGAAAACCAGAAGTCAGAAAAAACGGCAACCAAGCAAAACAAAGCAGCGTACACATTACACATGAGAAATGTAACAAATGCAAAATGCCACCTCCCCCCTCCAACACATCACTGTCCCCTTTGCCGGGAAGCTTTTCCACCCAGATTTTTGCATGGTTCACAGTCTTAGTCACTTCCTGTTGTTAGACACAATACCCAGACCCGCAACTTCAAGGAAGAGAGGTTTATTTTTGTTCGCAGTTTTGTTCATGGTCAGCTGGCTCCAAGGCGTAAACGGCATGGTGGAAAGGCCTGTGTTAAGAATAGTTGTTCATCCTACAGCCGCCAGAAAGCAGAGAGGACAGAGGAGCCAGGGAGGGAGGTATAGACTTCCGGGTCGTACACCCAGTGACCGCCCTCTTCCAACCAGACCCCCTTACAGCACATTTAGCTATGCATTCATCAGTACAGCACCCCCGTGATCCAGTCACTGTCCAAAAGCCCAGTCTCGGAACATGTGAGACTTTGAGGGGACCTTCTGCATCCACGCCGTGACACGGACCTGGTTGCATCCCTCAGATCTTGGCTCACGGGGTCTTTTCTGACACCGACAGTCAGTTCTGTGATAATGCAGACACCAGCCTGGGGTTGCGTGGCTCAGTTCAGTCCTGACAATAATTACATTCGTGTCAAGTCCTATAGATTGAAGGTTCAGTTACACATGACTGTCCCACCTCAAATGCCAGCTCCAGTGGGGTTCCCATGTACCTCACCTCATACAATAATTTTCAAGAACAGCTTATAGAACTCAGGAAAACACTGTGCTTACAGACACCTGTTTATCATAACAGATACAACTCAGGGACAGATAGGTGGAAGAGCTGCACAGAGTGAGGCGGGGAATCATGGAGCTCCCCCCACCCCCAAGCATCTCAGTGTGCTCACCAGCCAGGAAGCCCTCCAGCCTGTCACTTCAGGGCTGATGTGGTGATTCTGTTACCCACGCATGAGTAATGAAGTCACTGGCCACTGACGAGGAGCTCGGTCTCCGGCCCCTCTCCCCTCCCAGGAACTCGGGATGTAGCTGAAAGTTCAAGCTCCCTAATCCTGATGACCACCCTCATTCTGGAGCTGTTTCTAGACATCTCCTTAGCATACAAAGACAGTCTTGTCACATAGATCCGAAAGATTTTAAGGGTTGTATGCCAGGATCCAAGACAAAGACCAAATATTTAGTATACTACATCTTATATGTCATTTTGTAGAGTCCTGTCCTGATCATTCTGAGCTCATTGTGTCACGCAGATTAGACATTACCTTGCATGTATGTATGTCTCAGATTTTGTCCCCAGCTAGAAAGTAAGCCCCAGAAGAATAGGGCAGGCACACTGTGCTCAGCATGAGCACAGGGCACCCAGCCTGTGTGCAGTCAGCATTTCATGAGTGAGGCATGACTCACAATGAAGGCCGTACCCTGCATCCACTACCTGGCCATGACCCCTTCCTCTGCCTCTTGTCTTTCCCCAGGTGAACCAGAACAGCACCTCCTCCCACGTAGGAAGCTTGTGATTTCCAGGTAGGCCTGCCCACCTCACTGGAGGCTCTTGCTGCGTCTGAGCCTGGGCACCACCTTTCTGAATGCCTGCCTGGGGAGAAGTGTCCACCAAGGTGGGCTGACCCAGCCCCATCAGACGTTTCCATGGTGACAAGCTGGGGAGCTATTTATAGAATGGAGGCTTAGTCTCCTAGCTCTGGATCAGGGATGGGGGCAGCAATTGATGCTGAGTGAGCAAGGGGAAGGTTGGTCCCGAACAGGGGAGGGGCCAGCAGGCCCACTGGAGGGGATTCTGAGGGCATTTTTGCACAGAATGCTGCCTGCCAATCCGGCTTCTATAATGAGCATCAGGTCTGGCCCAAAGCAATTAATGTTCCAATAATAGTCTCAGGCAGTTCTATTCTAAGAGTCATGCCCAAGGCATCAGGCCAGGTACTTCTCTGTGTTCCTCACTTAACTCTCACTTAACACAGTCCTGCGATTCTACAGAGGAGTAAACCAAGCACCCTTGGGCCTTTGACTTCTCCAAGACTACACAATGTCCAAAGGGCAGAATTCCTCTGAGTCATCTCCCCCAGAGCTTGCTTTTAGTGAATTATTTTTAAGTGCATGCTAACCCTTCCATGTTTTAAAAGAGATAAGAAAAGGGATTTTGAACTTGGGAATCCTAAGATAAAAGAGCACCAGGTTTAATGCCTCTCGGCCTCTGTTTTCTGCTTCTGGAGACTGGAGGTTCCTCAGTTCTAGGGAAGATGACTAGAGGCTTCTAGGAACTCACTGCAAGGAGTAAAACCTCTAGTGAATGTTTATAAGCTTTTCATCTTGGTGACCGCAGTCTTGAAGAAGGGGAGATGGGTTATGTAACGCCTCCCTGCAGAGGTGGTCCCGGGACGCAGGGAGCTGGCCCAGGTGGGAATGCTCAGGAACTGTAAAGTGCTAGGCACTTGCTGTGGACTTGGGCACTTGAGTTAAGGGTCCAGCGAGCGAGCTCAAGTCCTCAGCCTCTCCGATCAGGCTTAGGGAAACTGAGGGGAACCCCTCAGAGAGTCATGGATCAGGAAGGATCTGTACTTTCCTTTTAGGTTTGTTTATTTGTTTGTTTGAATGCTGGGGATTGAACCCAGGGCCTTGTGTGCATGTTATGCAAATGCTATAACACTGAGCTACACCTCAGTCCTCCTTGTAATTTTAAAATGAAGCAGAGCTTCTAGCCTGGGCTGGTTTTTATATCCCCATCTTACTTTTAAATAATCAGCATATTCATTAGTTTTTCTTTAAATCCACTTTTCAGGCGGGCGACAGCAGACTGTCTTTATCAGGGCTCCCATCTTGCGTTGTGCTGAGACCCTAGAGTTCTGTTTAATTCCAAAAACACTCCTCACTTTGAAAACGAGTGTTGTCTGTGTTTCTCCCTAACCTTATTCCTTTCACTCACTTTCTACAAACTCATTACTAAACTCTCGGGCCTTCTCATTTATAAAACTAGGTTCATTCCTTGGTTTACTGTTTAAGTAAGATGCTACCTACACGGTGAAGATGCAAACCCCTGACACAGAGTCGCCCTTGGGTGGATGTTAATCATTCTCTTTCCCCAAAAACTTCATTGGCATTGACCCCATAACCACTGCCGTTCGCTCCTTATAAGTAACTAAAGTGGGTCTTTGAAGGTCAGAAGGATGCGGGTTGAGATGTGGGTAAGAACCCCAGGAATATTTTTTAAATTGGCCATCTGGGATACACATATAAAACCTTGCATGCTTATGGGGATGGATGAAGATTATCTGTTCCACAATCACACATAAATATATGGAAGCTCTATTTCAGAGTTGTTAATCCGGGCCTAATGCAGTCTCCCCTCTTTCAGATCTCTGCAGATGGCTTTCTTGCCAACAAGCGAAGAAGCCACATTCCAATGGAAATCAGGCCTCTAATCCAAGCATATTGCTTGCTATTAATTGCCAAAACAGGGCTGCTACTGAAGAATGTATTTGCCCATGTGTGCAAAAGCGGAGTCATTGAAGAGGAACCTTGAGACTCTTCGGACATTCCCAGCTGGAGAGCGAAGAGTGTGGAAAGCAGTCCGGTTTGGGAAACTTAGGTATTTCATATTTTTCCCCTCAAGAACTTTTTTAAAGAAGTGGATTTGCCATCCTCCTTAATTTGCAGGACTGCCTTGGTGGCTTTGTTTGCTGAGACAAGGCCCACAACCTGTGCCTCGCCTGTTGACCCTGACTTTGAATTCAAAGAATCTATTTAAAAATCTTAATATATGAGACTTTCTTTGATTTCTCTTCAATTCTACTCAATCTAACAGAGATAAAGGAGTTATTTGAATAAAGTGAACAGAGGCTCATTGGTCTGTGCCTTCCTTTCCTTAGTTGGGTTGTTTTTATTTTATATTGAGATTTTTCACATGGATTGGTGACAAGCAGAAGAAAGAGAACAGGTTTTTGCAAAGACAGCTGAACTCCCATGTCTGGAGTCCTCCAGGGCACTCTCAGGTTTGGTGATTTGCTAGGACCCAGAACTGAAGAATGTCCCTGGTTTGTGTGGGTCCTTGCTCCAGAGCTAACAGAAATTAGAACTGAAGCAACAGCACACACTTACAGGCAAAGCTTTCACTGGAAAGTGAGAGAAGATGGGAAGGAACTTCAGTTTGAGCTAACGGAGCCTCAGCTCTGACAAGGTCAAGCTGGCCCATTAATAAAGGAGAGAGACCGGTTTTATGGGGCGCTGTTGGCCTCTGGTCTGATTGACCATTATTTCAGTTCCAGTTTTGCAGAAGCCCTAGTGACTTGAGGGGACATCTCATTCCCAAGAGGCAATTGCTCCTGCCTTAAAGGAGGGGAGTCTGAGTGTTTCGGAGGCTCTGCTGGAATCCAAGGTGCCTGCAGTTTTAGGGGAAATGACTAGAACCTTCTAGGTACCCATTCCAAGGGATAAAACCTCTAGTTGCATGTTTATAAGCTTTTTATCTGAGTGTTCTCGGTCTTGAAGGAGGATGAGGTAGGTTATGTAAATTTAGGGCTAAAAAAACCCCTTTATGTTATCTGTTTTTATACAGATATGCCTTAAGTGAGTAACATGGCTGAGCAGGGATCTGACCCAAAACTTTGAGGATAAAAGACACACAAAATAAAGGCAGTAATGTCAAGCTTTATCCAGGTTTTAGTTACCCATTAAGCGCTTGGTGAAGTGTTACTGGGTTTTTGTTTTTTCAAAAGCAGTTCTATCACTGGGACAAAATACGTGACACCCTCAACCTAAAGGAGGAGAGGTTTTTTTTGTCTCACGGTTTTAGAGGATTAGTCCATAGTCAGCTGGCTGCAAGGCAGGAAGGGCATGGTGGAAGGGTCTGATAGAGTGAAGCCCCTCAAGTCATGGTGGCCAGGAAGAAGAAGAGAAAAGGAAGGAGCCAGATGGAGATGCACCCTTCCGGTCACACCCCCAGTGGTCCCTCTTCTAAACAGACACATTCGGCTATGAACCCACTGGTGAGTTGAGTGCCCCCATGATCCAATCGCTTTCCAAAATCCCAATGTCTGAACATGGGAGGCTTTGAGGGACTTGCTAGATCTAAACCATAACAAGCCCTTAATTCCCAGACAGCCTCAGAGGTTAACACAGATCATGCTTTTAATGAATAACAGGTTAAGGACCTGGGAGTTTGTTGATCCTCTGTCCCTCTGCAATGATCCCAAGAGTTTTATTTTTTCATCTCGTTTATTCAGGGCCAGGGACAGCCAGGGCATCCTTGCTTTCATTACGCACCTGGTTTTTTTGGGTCTGTTTTGTAGTACTAGGGGTTGAACCCAGGGCCTTCATACTCAGTGACATCCTCTGTCCTTTATTTTGAGACAGGGTCTCACTAGGTCACTCACTCTGGGCTTGAATTTGTAATCTTGCGTCAGCCTCCCAGAGTGCTGGGATTACAGGCTTGTGCCACCATACCCGGCTGATGCACCTGGTTTTTGAGGTCAATAACAGTGTTTGAGAGAGTGAGGGGGTGGGTAGGGAAAAACATTGTGTTACTCATTGGAAGCAGGTCCTGCATTAAGGCTCAAGAGTACACCTGACCTTTGTCCTCATGGATGTCTCCAAACTATCTCAAGAGCCGTTAGGTTCACGGTTATGGCATATGCAGTGAAGGGATACAAATCAAAATTGGCAAAGGAGAAAGGAACATAGAGCAGAGTCCAAAAGACTTGGCTAAAGTTGTCAGCTAGTGGAGTCTTACAGGCCACCTGCTTGGTCCTCCCTGCAAGAATCTATGACAACACGAATGTAGAATTGTAAGACGAGCTCAACTAAGCCTTGAGGTTTATGATTTTTACTAGCACTCAGTCGCACAGGCCTGGAGTAGACACATGACTAACCTTAGTCACCAGTCCCTCTGGGGGCCAGTATGTTACAGCGTGGCCCCAAGCTCTTATCATGATCACATTATTAGATATCGCCTGGTGAGGCCCTGGGCCTGAAGCTATCCAAACCCTTCTGTCCAGGAAGATCACTAAGGGCTTAAAGCTCAGGAAAGTGTCCAGAGCTAGTTCTTTCTTTGAAATGTCCAGTCGTGCTGAGTTAACTCTTTACTGCACAGGCCTCACCTGCTAAGGAATCAACTAGGCCCAGAAGAGCTTTGTATTTCTGTGTAAGCATTAAGGTGTTTATCCACAGTCTTGCCTTATGCCTTTATAGCTCCCGATAACGCATGAGATTTTGGGAAAGTAGAGACTTACAGTGCTTCAGGACAGGGGTTTTCGAACCAGGCTGACCTCCCAGCTGAAAGGCCTAGGGCCCTGTGTCTTCATCTGTAAAGCGGGGTGTTAAACCCTCCTGGGTTTAATGGAGATGGCTAGCAGGCAACACTAGCAGAGGTACCTAGGATGTGATGCACCCAGGCAGGGCAGCTCTTGTCACCCCTTGTGAGACTGCTGTAGGATGGTAACCAGACTTTTGGGAGTGTGAGACCTTTTCCGTTCACTCACTGTGTGATTATTTGTCAGTCTCCTGCTCAGTTTACCAAGTGTGGCGCTTGCCCCCTTTGAAAACCTGGTGGTAGTTGTACATCTCACTACCCTGCCCTCCAGATTTATGACTGGTTCCAGGAGTTCACAAGTTTTGTGAGAAGCCCTTCCATGAAGACACTGGATATTCACAGAAGTACCAGGGAGAATATTAAAAACAAAAAGTCTTGTGAGGAGAAAGGAACAGATTCTGTTTCTCTCTCCCATGCAGTGGAACTGGGTCTTGTCTTCTGGGAAAAAAAAAAACAACTCATTTGCTCTTCACTGATTCCATCTGCAGAGTTTTGATTAAGAGCACTGCATGAATACATTATCAGATGTTAAGCACTCAGAAGAATTTATAGCAGGAGCACAGGAGGTCCCCTTTGTTCATACTCTCAGCATTTCCTTCCCGCCCTAGTGCTTCCAGACCTCTATGCTTTTCCTAAAATGTCCATACACAAAAATACCCTCCGTGAAGCCCTCTACTTCTATGGCCCCGACATCTGCAGTTTCAACTGAGATGATAAAAACTCTCAAAAAATTGCATCTTTATTAAATGTGGATTTTTTTTGTCATTCAGTAGTCTCTAATACAGTGTAACAGCTGTTTACATAGAATTTCCATGGTATTAGGTATTGTATTGTAAGTCACTTAAAGATTATTTAAAATACCCAGGAGGATATGTGTAGGTTCTATGCAAATACTACACCATGTGGTATAAGGGACTTGAACATCTGCTGATTTTGCAGGATCCTGGAACCAACTCCCCCATCAACACAAAGAGATGACCATATTTAATATGATCTTATGCTGAGGATGTGGCTCAGTGGTAGTTTTTGCGTAGCATGTGTGAGATCCTGGGTTTGTCTCCCTCAAAGAGTCATAAAATATCCCACTTTGAGAGGTTATCCTAAAATGTACTTTAGCAAATTGCACTATAGGGGTTTTCATGTGAACACATGCCGTGCAAGAAGGTATTCTAGATCAAACCTTTTTGGAGCAACCCACTTTGCTGCATCCTTCGTTCATTTTTAGTTGCTTCCTCACCAGCAAAGCTATGGTGGCTATTACCGTACATGCCCTTCTGGGCAACAATCTGAGTGTGTCTCCCTACAATGAGAAGTAGCATTGCTGAGGAGTAAAGCATACATATTAGCTTGATCACACTGTGAAGCCAGAAGCTTCCAGAGCCTTTCTTGGGGATGTGTTGGGGCAATGAATTAACGATCACTTGTGTCCTGGCCCATCCATGGTCTAGCTTGGACATCATGCATCACCTATTCTGTTTCTTTAAATTGCCATACACGAAAACACTGTGCTGTGTCCTTCACTTGGCTGCTATTATTATATACAGTCAGCTTTGGAGTCAGAGAAAACGGGTGTCATATACTGGGTTAAACCAGTTACTAACTGCATAGCCCTGGGCAAATGAATCCACCTTTCTAACTTCAGGTTTCCTTCTTATAAGACAGGGATAAATGGGTAAGAACTGTACTGATCTCATGCAGTGACTCAGAAATGAGTGAGATATGCAAACATATGATCCAGTTGAATGAAGCTTGAAGGCTTAGAGCCCCCGTGATGGAGCCTTGATAAATGATGACTATGATTACTACTAGTACTATTCTGAAAGAAGATATGGGTTGTGGCAGGCTATCCATGTCCTCTCATCAGGATGTACCTTTATCCTGTCAGTGGCTGGCTAGCTAGCGTCATGGTTGGTGGCCACAGAGCTCTGCTGCACATGTGCCAAACGTACAAATCTACATTCTCGTTACCGGCTGCCACCCTGCCTGAGCCATCAGTTCCTCCAAAGGTCTTAGCAAATTTCCATTTTAAAAGTATCTTCTTTAAGTCTATCCAAAGGTACATTACTGCCTCTCCAAGGTAAGGGATGGACATTTGAGAAAACTATGAACACAGGAAGCACATAGTCACCACTAACTGGGTAGCAAAGGATATCCAGTCTCAGGCCTGTGTTCCGCTCCTTTCTGCTTAACCAAGCTGCCCATATCTGGGTGACTGAGAACCTTATATTGTTAAATTTCTAAGTTTGTTGGTGAACTTAGAGTGAGGTAAGTGGTTCTCTATTCAAATGTAGGCCAGGATTTCTATCATCCAGAGGCTTCTTCTTTTACCTCTAGTGGCTGGGCTGCCCACATCACTGAACAGGGCCTGTAGAGATTCCCCCAAAGAGGAAATGAAACCTCGACTCACCCTACTCATAGCATAGGTTGTGGATTCACTTATTTCCATCTGTTATTTTTGTAACAGAAAGAATTGCATGACATGTCAGTGAGAAGCTAGAAATATTTATTAGGCAGAAAGAAGTCTGCATGTAGGAGTT